CGAAGCTTTGCGGTTTAGGGTTTAGGGTTTAGGGTTGAGGGTTATGGATCTGTAACCCTGAGACACCGAACCTTCAAGCTAAAAAATGTCCCCAAAAGCAGTGACCAGAGAGTACAGTGTCCCGACTTTCGCTACTAAACACGAGCTCTACACCCCAAGCCTTCAGCACAAGCCACAGAACCTTCATGTACCCCAAACCTTCGCAAACTCCCTATAGCCTGAACCTCGAGCCCCAACCCTCAAACCCCTGCGGCCTCTCCGACTCGCTCATGTTGCCTGCACAGAGAGGCAACTCAGGGGGCTCTCGTCAAGGAACTCAGGTTGAGCGGAACATGCTTCCTTTAGGGGCCCCTTTCAAGGGATATACAAGAGTGTCTGTGATAAGGGTGCTCTAGGATATAGTATGGGGGTGTTAATCGTTAGACTAAGGCGTTTTTTGTATGTGAAAGTCTCGAATTATAGCAATTCACCCTAAGGAAAAGTGTTAGTAAATGTCCAAGCTGCTAAATTGCCGTAGTAAGGAAAGCACGTTGACATAACGCATTGCATGACCCTGTTATGGCAACCACTTCCAAATCCTTATCGACGGCTTCGCTGATCTAGAACAGATCTTCATGTAGACTTGCTTCAGCTACTCTGAAGAACTCCTTAATTAATCTTCAACGCCCCTGACCTCTAGACTCGAAGTCACCCAAAGACATGCGCAACTTCACTCCTGTCAGGCGAAGCCTCGTCAGAGTATGTACAGGCTTCCCCTCCCCTCCCCTTTGAAAAAAGCTCGGCTTGTTACGACCCTGCGGAAAGAAGACCGCCCCAAACCCCTAAACCCTAAACCCTGAACCCTAAACCTCGGCTTGTTACGACCCTGCGGAAAGAAGACAGCCCCTAACCCCTAAACCCTGAACCCTAAACCTCGGCTTGTTGTGACCCTGCAGTGGAAAGAAGAGGTTCACCGATCCCCTGGCTCCTAGCGTGGCCTCCCGGTCCTGATGATCCGAATTCAGCAACCTGCGGCCCTGTGGGTGCAGAGCCCTGAGCCCAGAGAGCCCAATACCCCTTAAATAAGGAATAGACCTTAAACTATAGGGGCCTGAATTTTATGATTTAAGATATATTCCTGATTTAGGGGGTATTGGGCTCTCTGGGAATTTCTGATCAGCTGAGACATGGGCCTGCTGAAAACAGCCCATTGGCCTGCTGCTTAGCCTGGCAGCATCTATGCGGGAGCTTCACCCAGTAGGGGACGCCCAGAATGCCTGGTCTAGACCCGCAATAGTTGGAGCTCCATTTTCAAGAAAACCCTTGCAAAGTCCCTTCAGGTTCATATGGTCTTGCAAGGGGCTCTTGAGATCTACACTAGGTTTGGGGGGTATGTTCCACTGTACTAACAAGAATAAACCTTCAGTTTCTGCTCTGCCATCTGACAAAGGCGCGCCGCAACGTTGCACCCAGCGCATATCTGTAGCAAGTCTTGAAGGGATATTTGCAACGAGGAAGCATATGGGTAGTTCTCTAAAGTAGGGTCCCTTTTTAGGTCCCCAATATAGTACGGCACCCTTATAAAAGAGGACCCCAAAAGGAACCCTAATTTTGAGAACTACCCATATGTTGACACATCCGTGCCGCGCTTGCCTCGCAAGTCCACGCCCACTGCCCTAGACTTCTCCAGCATGCTCTGCCTTTCTCCCTCTTGCTCTCCGTGCGTGCCTCTCTCTGTCTGTCTCTGTCGCTCCCTCTGATACATAATATACAGTATGTAGCTATAAGAATACATAACAAATAATGCATCATATGTAACAAACTATGATATATCTTGGCTCCCGCTCCACCCCCTCTTGGCTCTCTCTCTCTCTCTCCCTCCCTCTCTCCTGCCCCGAAGAGCGTGAGTGGACACCTTCAGGTTTGTGGTTTACTGAGGTCTGTAGGTGTGCTTGCAGGCCGGATAAACTAGCCAGCAGTCGAAGAGGCCTAAACGGGTGTATAGGCCTTAGGCCTTCTAGGCGTATTAGGGCTTCTAGGGTTTAGGCTTTGGGGTCTAGGGTGTAGGGCAAACAGGGGCTTCAAGGGTCGGGGGTATGGGCAGCCAGTTTAGAAATCTTGAAAAACTGGATCTCAAGACCTCTCAGGATCCACATCCACTACATCACGGTTTAGGGTTTAGGGTTTAGGGTTTGGGGTTTAGGGTTTAGGGTTTGGGAAGCTCTTCCACCTAAGATCCTGCAAGTCGTGAATCTTCCAGCTCAGCAACGACACCATCTTTGACACGAACCAACCTGAACCCTAACGCCTAGCCCGTATGAAGCCTACACCCGACTAATCTAAACCCTCAAACCTTCAGCCCGAACCCTAAAAACCCTCAACCCCAAACATTCACAGGTACCTTTTCCAGGCCAGCAGCTGTGTACCTCAAAACCCGCAAACCAGTAATGGAAGGTTGTCGCTGCGGCTTAGGGTTAGCACTTGGGGTTTAAATGCTCTAGGGTTTTATGGAGGCTTTAGGGCTTCTTGCCACCGTGATTGCTACTACTGCTCTTACAGCCGCCTTGGCTCGCGCTCGCCTGAAAAAGCACAGAGGATCCCTAAAACCGGAAACACGAGCCGAAAGACGCATAAGCCAGGGCTCCAGAACGCCCGAACCCATCTATCTCCAAACTGGATCTGCCGTTTCACGCTTCTCAGCTCGCCAACCAAACTTCAGCCGCAAAAGGTCGAACCGGGAGGGCTGAAAAGGTGGGGACTTTGGGACATGCTGGACTGAGGCGGAGGCTCGATGTGCAGGTCGGGGTGGGGCTCTGCCGGTGCCTTTGCCTTCAGAAGATGGTGTGCTTGGGATTTCAATGCGAGTAAATGAGAACGCCAACGATGATAATGAAAAGCCAGGGCGATGGATGACGATGATGATGATGATGATGGTGATGGTGATGTTGATGGTGATGGTGATGATACCGACGACGATGCGGACTGAGGATGAGGATGAGAATGAGGCTGATGCTGATGCTGATGCTGATGCTGATGATGATGATGATGAGGATGAGGATGAGGATGAGGATGAGGGTGAGGGTGAGGGTGAGGATGAGGGTGACGATGACGATGACGATGGCGATGGCGATGGCGATGGTGATGATGATTGACCCGATGCTGACCATGATGAATCACGATGCTCTTGCCGTGCTTTACTGCTGCTGGTAGTGCTGATGTTTTTGGTGATACAAGCCCGATGACCAAGATGGTGAAGGTAACCTTTGAGGCTGCGGCCGGTGGTACAGATGCTGGCGCTGATGCCTGTGCTGGCGCTGAACTAAACTTTAAAGCCTAAACCCGCTGTTCGTGCGACAGCGACGACGACGACGACGACGACGACGACGACGACGGGGACGACCAGGACCCGACTGTGAGGAAAGCTGGGACTCTAGGTCTCTAATGCCGGGGCCTTAATAATTAGAATAGGGTTTTGGGGCCCATTATACTATAATTGGGATAAGGAACCCCGAAAGTGGTTCAGGTAATCTTTGAGGCCCCTACATTGTAGATGTTTCCGGAACCTTGCAAGCCCCGATGCCCGGAAACTGTGTTGCATCTTTGTCAAGCTCTCTGGGTGCTCTGTGCCTTTGGAGACTCGCTGCTGCCATTGCTGACCTGCACCGTGAGACTGTCAGGTGGGTTCTGGGTTTTGAAGCATGTCTGAGTTCAGGGTTAGGGTTTAGGGTTTAGGGTTTAGGGTTTAGGGTTTAGGGTGTAGGGTTTAGGGTTTAGGTTTAGGGTTTAGGGTTAGGTACAAGGCACAATGTAACGTTCAGTGTAGCTGAGGCACTCAAAGTACGTAACGAGCTCCTGTACTTCTACCTGCTCCTCTCCAAAACAAGAGCTGCCCCAGATACGTGATCACACTTAAGCTGATGGACAAAATCCTGCATGACCCTATATACCTAAACTATGGGATTTATGGTACTATACTATATTTGGGTCATGCAGGATTTCGTCCATCAACACTAGTGAGAGACGAATCGTCTGAGGCACTTGCGGGGGCCGGCTCCTCGTCTTCATCATCGCTGGCCTCCCGGCAGACATGGCCCAACATCTTACACGACGATCTTAGGGGCCTTAATGGTAAAAAAAAAAACAAGGTTTTGGGCTACATTCTGCTTTTCATACATTCGGGAAGTCAAAGGAGCAGTCTTGGTGTGTGTTCAAGCTGCGATATTACATCGACCCTCGCACCCCTGACACTTCAACCAGTCAAAGCCCTGCCTGCCCAAACCGTCAATGAAAGGAAACTACAGGTGGGGAGTTTAGGGTATATAGGGCTTCTAAAAGGCTTCTATAAGGTATATAGACCTTCTATAAGGCTCCTATAACGGCAACTACCCACCAGAAAATGTCCTAGAGTCAACCTTTGAGATGAAGGCATCCACGAATGTAAAGTCCCAAACTCTCCCACTCCGGAAGCCTTAAACGTGAACTCTAAGACCCTAAAAGTCTAAGAGCCCCCAACGTCACGCCCTAAGTAACCTTACATCCCGAGCCTAAACTGTTCTAAACCCTGTAATGTAGAAGCCGAAACAATTACCCATACTATTCCTTATGAGCCCTTACAATTATTGTAATATAAAGGGGCCCAAAACCCTGTCCCAATTAAAGTTAAGGGCCCCATATGATACGACACCACCCCCAACCAGAGGGGCCTCCACGATTTCCATGCGCCTGAAACCAGGGGCCGGCTCCTGGCACAGGGTCCACAACGACTCTTCTAGGAGTTAGGAGGTGGGGGGATTTTGGGGGATGTAGACCCTCTCAATAATAAGGTCCCTTTTAAGAGAGCCTACTAGTAGGCTTAAGAAGGGCCTCCTTTAAAGGGCCCCCCCTAATACGACCTAGACTCTTCGACTCAAGGGTTTAGGGTGTAGGGTTTAGGGTTTAGGGTTTAGGGTCAAGGGGTGGAGATGACACGAAGGCTCAAGGATTTCTGGCATCGGGCTTGGGGTTTAGGGCGCAGGGTTCGACCCTCGCAGGTCTCTCGGGGTTCAGGGCTTAGGGTTTGGGTCTCGTTATGCAGGGTTTAGGGTTTAGGGGTTTAGGGTCTAGGGGTTTAGGGTTTAGGGGTTTAGGGTTTAGGGTTCAGGGGTTTAGGGTTTAGGGTTCAGGGGTTTAGGGTTTAGGGACGGTTAGGGTTTGGGTCTTGTTTTGTTGCTGAGTAGGGAGCCCTTTTCGCCCAGGCTTCAGAGCCTTCTGGGCTCTACGTCCAGCACAGACACCCTTGCTCTCCAACGGTCTTAGGTTTAGGGTTTAGGGTTTAGGGTTTAGGGTTTAAGGTCTAGGGTTTAGGGTTTAGGGTTTAGGGTTTAGGCAGACAGTCATACATGTCGTAGAAAATCAATAGTCGCTAGTTGCAACCATTGCATGAAAACAGGACGTTCAAATCCATGCCCCTAAACCCCGCCTAGACCCAAACCCTAAACCCGGAACCGCTGACCCCCTGCGAAAAGGAAAGCTCAACACTGGAGGGGCGACGCTGGATCCGTTGGGCATCGGTGCCGCTGCCTTCCATATTTATGTAGGGGGGCCTTAAACGTCAGAATGGGATGTTAAAGTATGACACAATTATCACTTTGCGCGGGGCGGGGGTGTAAGGGGATATTGCCACCATTGTCGCTTCAGACCTCTCTATTATCTGTTCAAGCTTTCTGCAGCTGTCGAACAGGGCGGATGGCTGAAAACGGATGCTAGGCATGACGAAGAAGTTTCTGACTAAAAAGCTGAACCTTAAACGGTTTAGGGTTTAGGACCTTGTCCACCCTTCCCCAACTGCAAATTCATCAGCGCTCTGTTTGTTTTGGATGCTTGAATGGGGTCTACAGTAGTAGCAGCAGTAGTGGTAGTAGAGGCAGCAGTAGGAGTAGCACCAGCAGTAGCAGTAGTAGCACCAGTAACGTCAGAAAGCAGCATCCGGCTTCAGCTGCACAAGCAGTGGTTCTAGGACAAGAAGTAAGAAGCCGCTATCGCAATGTAACGGCAGGACTCCGTAGGACTATTACTACACCTGCTGGCATGGCCCCCGGATACGGTACGCGGGATTCGAGCCCTCGGACCGCCACTCCTTCGGCCAGAAATAATGTAAAGGCCTTAACAATTAGAATACGGTTTTGGGGAGTACTATACGATAATCATAATAAGGAACCCGCAAAACCCTATTCTAATTATTGAGGCCCCTATTATAATTCAAACCTCTGTGGACGGCCGGGTCCTTCAAGCACACTGAGAGTTGCAGCAGTCGCGAAGCTTTAAGTGCTGCTAGTAGTAATAGTGGTACTACTACTTCGACGACTACGACCAGCACGACGACAACGACGATGAGGACGACGAACACGACGACGAGCTACAACCGCCTGCCAACCAACTACCACCAACCCAATCCCAAGCCCGCCTTCGGGCTGCTGGCTTTCGGTGGCTCAGCTGTAGCCTTCCGCGGATAACAACTGCAGACATGCTTGAAACCCGAGATTCAGACATGCAGTGCCTCGGTGAAACCTCTGGCCGAAACCCAAATACCAAAATACCACACCCAATCTGCCCTGAGCTGTCCACCTCCGATCCCCTCAACTAGCGTGTTCATGAATGCAGAAGGCGACATCCCCTAGCATGAAAATTTCGGGTCAACTTCAGCAGCCTTGACCAGCGGAATTTGGCTTTGGGCGGCCCTGAACCCGAAACCCTAAGACTTGTACTATACATCTCCTCTTGCCGATGGCGATAAGCCCACTCAAGGCCTTGAATATCATGTGAGGCTGGTTTGATACTGCTACTGGTATGCATTGATATGTTCATTGGTAGTTCATTGCTCTTATCAAGATGGATGTGCTAACTGCTACTCTTCTTATGCCGCTTACTGGTAATACTCAGCTCTTACTCTTACTCGGCCTAAACCCTAAAACCCTAAACCCTAAAACCCAAACCCTAAACCCTAAAACCCTAAACCCTAAAACCCAAACCCTAAACCCTAAAACCCTAAACCCTAAAGCCCTAAACGGCATTGATTTTCCATCCGGAGTTTCCAGCTCTGGCCTTTGGGCTGGGCTTCGGTTCGGCCTGGCACCAGGGCTGCAACTCAAGCACTGCTTTTGTTGCTTGACCAAACCCTAAACCCTAAACCTTGGTACTGTAGAGGGGTTCAGGGTTTAAGGGGCCCTAAACCCTAAACTCTAAACCCCTAAACCCCTAAACCCTAAACCCCTGAACCCCTAAACCCTAAACCCTAAACCCTAAATGTTAGCGTTTAGGGATTGGGGATCTCAGACACCGAAGCTTCGTTTACGGGTTTAGGGGTTTAGGGTTTAGGGTTCAGGGCTCAGGGGTTTAGGGTTTAAGGGTTTAGGGTTTAGGTCTCTTAGCCTGATGGCACGGCAGTCTGCTACTGCCTCTCCGCGGCCCTGCCGATCCCCCGTGGCTACGGATGAAGGTCGAGATTCAGCCTTTAGGGTCTTCTTGGGTTTAGGGTTTAGGGTTTAGGGTTTAGTGGCCCCTTCCTTTAGGGTTTAGGCTTGAGGCTTTAGGTCTTCAGGTCCAGGGTCCATCGAATGCAATGCAAAATCTAAGTCGCTGCATACGGAAACAAGGAAGTTGACTGAAACCCCTTGCAATGGCTAATTCGCAAATCATAGACGGAAGCACCACAAAACACTGGCGATGCAGACACACGGGGAAATCAAACAGAATGTCATACTCTGCAATGTGAACATGAAATGGTGGAATCAAGCTACAAGCATGTTTCTACATATGTAGCAACATGGTGCTGTGGGCGATCACCACACATTCACGTCACAATGTAGGAATAACATTAAATAGTGTAAAGCCTCATGTCTGGATCCCAGCCTTGGATGCCGAGGTTCGGCATCAAAGGCGGATCCGTCTGATCAGCGTTACATATCTCAAGATGCTTACCCGACAGTACGGCAGCCTGCATCCGAATCCGGCGGGAACAACTCGCAGTCTACTGCATTTCGCATGCTACTCGCCACCTGGCCACCCCAACTAAGGCTCCTTAGATAGGCGCTCGAGGCTCAAAAACCCCGATAAACCTAAACCTAAACCTTAAACCCGAAACTCCCTCTCTGGCAGGAACACTGCCACCGCCTTCTTGGATGGCTCTCCCTCGACAGGCAACCTTCAAGCACAGAAGGGCTGCAGCTTCCGTCATGAATGCTAGTAAACGTAACAAGATCATGTATGCATGTGTGTGCAAAAGTAAGTAAGCAAGTAAGTAAGTAAGGTAGTAAGATAGTGAGTAAGTAAGTAAGTAAGTAAGTAAGTAAGTAAGTAAGTAAGATAGAAAGCATGTAAATAAGTAAGTAAGTAAGTAAGTAAGTAAGTAAGTAAGTAAGCCTTAAGTAAGTCTTAAGTAAGTCTTAAGTAAGTCTTAAGTAAGTCTTAAGTAAGTCTTAAGTAAGTCTTAAGTAAGTAGTAAGTAAGTAAGTAAGTAAGTAAGTAAGTAAGTAAGTAAGTAAGTAAGCAAGTAAGTAAGTAAGTAAGTAAGCCTTAAGTAAGTAGGTAGGCAGGGAAATAAGCAAGTAAGTCAGTCAGTCAGTGAGTGAGTAAGCAAGCAAGCAAGCAAGCAAGCAAGCAAGCAAGCAAGCAAGCAAGAAAGCAACGAAACATGTATGTATGTATGTATGTATGTATGTATGTATGTATGTATGTATCTACGTACGTACGTACGTACGTACGTACGTACGTATGTATGTATGTATGTATGTATATTGTATGTCTGCGTGTACGTACTCAGCAGAAGCCTCAAGCACGAACAAGATAAAAAAACGAGCAGCTCAGCTCGTTGACAAGACCGGGCCTCGTGTCCGCTCCGGGTCTCCTCGGCGTCCTTCGGATCGAGCAACAGCCACTCAAGTCGCCTATATTAAAAAAGCCGCACCCCTGCCCCGCCTTCCGCAGAGCATCGTGAAGATCCATCTCGAAGCCATTCATGCGGTCCATACGCGCCAAAGTCACCGAAACATTCCGATACTCCGCAGTCCAGCTCGAGAAGTCATCCCACAAGGACGAGAGCACTTTAGCCGCTTCGAGGCTCCTTGCACTGTTGCCGTTCTTGTCGGGGTGGATCAGCAACATTATGGCGTCGATAGCATTTCTCCGGGGACAAATCAGGATACAACCTGACGCCCAGCTTCCAAGCAGGCAGCCCGACCGTGGGGGCCAGCACCATTCTTATGGCCGCATCCCTAGTAGCAGCCGACATGCTCCCACACCGATCTGGCAGGCAGCAAACTTGAGCGCAAAATGCACTGCACACTCACAACAGTCCTCAGCACTCATGCCTTACGCTCGGACTGCACGGCTTCGAAGAGGCAACGAGCTGTGCATCAAGGTCCAGGCGTCGCGATGAAAGTCGGCGCCACTGAAGACTTCGGACCTGGGCACAAGAGAGGAGGCCGGGGTTCCCGGGAATGGGGGAATGCAGGGCACTCTAGTTTACGGGCGGGGGGTAAGGGTGGCAGTGCTCCTACGCGCAATGCACTGCACACTCACAACAATCCTCTACGCTCCTACGCACCAGCACTCCTACCCGCACTCGGACTACAGAGATTCGGAAGAAAAAAACGGCTCGGCTCCAGACGCCCGGGAGTGGAAGCCGCTCGAGAATTGCAGAAGAGACCTGACCACAAAACAGTGGGGCCCGGGGCTCCCGGGTGGGGCTCGGGAATGCAGGGCACTCTACTTACGGGCGGGGGTAGGGGTGGCAGTGGCAAACACTCCTGCACTCCTACGCGCACTCAGAGAACCCCGAACCCACAAAGTCCGAAACCCTCCGAGGAGCGCGGCGATGAGGTCCAGCCTGGGCGGAGCGGAAGGTCATCACTTTAGCTACGGGCGGGGGAGCAGAAACAATCACTCCTGCGCGCACTCGGACAGACAACCCGAACCCACAAGGTCCGAAAAAAAACCGAAAACCAGAACCAAACTCCGAAGCGCAAACGGTCTGAGGCCCCAGCGATGCAAACCCGCCCACCCCCCAACCGCCCGGCAACCACCGTCCCTACAAGCTTGAACCTGCGAGCACGGCAAAAGAGAAATGAGCGCAGGGCCGAAGGGAAGGTCCTATACGGGGTTAGGGCGGCAGGGCAGCAGGGTTCGGGATCCTACGGGGGCAAAGGGGACTCGCGCACTCGGCTCGCACTCACTTGCAGGGCGAAGGGGCACAACCTACCAGCGGGGCCGAAAGGGGATAAGGTGCCCTGAAAAAACTTAAGACTTTAAATGAGGGACAAACCCGAGGCTTAGGGGGAATCGGGGAAAAAACACGCGGCACACTTTTCCAAAAATTCCTTCAAAAACTCGTTGTGCGCATCTGTGTAGCTCCGCGCAGCCTAGGACATCTAAAGGGCAGCACAGACCAGTCACTTCTTCGAACCCTCCGCCTTGGGTTTGCCCTCCTTCTTCTTGGCCGCTGCCTTGGGTTTGTCGTCTTTCTTTTCGCTCTCCGCCTTGGACTTGTCGTCCTTTGCCACGTCATCCGCGTCGGAGGGCTGAGTCAGGCCAACCATCGCAGCTCGAGTCGACTCCAGCGTGTGGCCTGACTGCAAGAAGTGTTTCTCGACTGCCAGCACGCATGTGTCGTAGTCTGCCTCCGACAGCCCGTTCGCAGCATCGGTGACGAGGCCAGAGCCACGAAGTGCAACGAGCCTCTGCGCGAGGCGCACATTGTCGCCAGCGGAGGGAACGACACCCAGCTCAGCCTCCATAAGTCGGATCAACCTGGAGATGCAGCTTAGCATCTCCACGGAAGGACGCCACCCCCCCGCCGCCTGCACTGTCTCCTGCAGCTCCTGAGTCTCACGACCCGACGGGGCACCAGACTGACGAGAGCGCTTCCCCATGACGAATGACTAAATGACTCTGCCGCCTACATGCTGCGCCTGTTGCTGCTGCTGAGTGTGCCTAGTGCTGCTGTTGCCGCCTAGTGCGGCTAGTGTGCTGTCGTGCGCCGCTCGTGTGCTGCTCGTGCGTCGGTGTCCTACCTTGAAAGAGCGAGCGCGGCACCTGCAATTCAGATCAAGGCCGCGGGAACGGGGACCTACGGGTTAGGGAAGCAGGGCACTTGCAGGGCAGATGGGGCGCAAAACCTACACTGGGGCTGAAAGGGTTAGGGTTCCCTGAATGCCCTGAACCAAACCCAAAACAAGAACCCCGGCGAAAGCACTCTAGCAAAATGTTACTGCAAAAGTCGGCAGGCCTAGCTAGAATACCACTACAAAATGGAAAAAAAAATCAAAGGTCTAGCGCCCTCGACCAACCGGGCGTAGAGGAGTCGCTCTCTAAGGAACGCCGCGGCGACGCGTAGGGCGCGACCACGGGCCCCGGCGATCTCCCCCTGGGTGCTGTTTATTGTGCGGACACTCC